CCTAACCATAAAGGTAACACGGCTACAAGCCTTGATCTACCTCAGCACCTGCCATTACCACCGCAAGGTTCCCAGTACTGAAGGGCAGCAATGTTAGTAAGATGCATGCAAGAAAAAAATAGAAAATAAAGTTTGCTCCGGATAAATCAAGGCTCAGTATTTATGGTAACGTTACATAATGTATTAAAAGGATTATAAATCACAGCAACTCTTCATAACTCTGAATAAACAAACGTCATAACTCCAGCCTATTATAATGATGCCCTACACCTCTGAAACACAGTGGTACTTACCTTATACTGATGTCTCGACCTGTGAAGACATAACCACTGATGTCTCGACCTGTGAAGACATAACCACTGATGTCTCGACCTGTGAAGACATAAACCAGTGTTAGATACAAGGAGTTATCGAGTCAACTACTATTGGTGGTCATATAGGTTCAAATACTCGACAAATATAAATTACCCGCAGAAACTCAATAGGATACATTATATAAGGTGTTGGCAACTACTAAATATTTACCGGTTAGGTTAAAGAGGTAATCACACTGAGCAAAATTTCCTCTATTCTCGGTCAGAAAACGACTTTACTAATCACACCGTTCACTGGTAAAAATAAAGCTTCACTTATGGACCAACCATATGAACCAATCTTATTTAAGGTATGTTTCAAAACTGACCAATTTTTAATATTTTTTTTCAACAATATGTTTTACAAAATGTGCGACAATATATTGCAACTCCTGAAAAATACGATTAATCTTGATGTATCTCTGGATATGTTGCAAGGCCAGCCAGGGGTAAAACCTGCCTGACTCCTGTTACTGTTATTTTTATTTCATTTATTATAAAGCATCAAAATATTTCACTCACGCTGGAGCACTTGACGTTAGACTCATCAAGCTCTTCGTTGGGCCTCAGCCACTTACGTCAACACTAAACCATCTTTCGTCTCAGAAAATATAAGTAAGGATCGCAAATAACTCGTCTTCATTTATGAATAAATTATCCTGAATAAATGTACTGAGATTAATCTGAAAGAGTTTTGAAGGTCTGTAAAATGCGCTCAAGTCCCATTGGCTCTCTGCCAAGCAAAATATAATGTTAGGTATTTTACCACGAACGGCATCCCTAGCCTATTTAATATTCAAAGGAGATAAAATTAACCTAATCTAACTGAAATAAACTTAATCTAAGGGTTCTAGAATAGGTTTATTGCGTTAAGTTTAATCAATTCATGTTATCTACATTAATACAAATAATAATTAGTTAAGTTATAAGCACATTTATTCCTCCTGTCTCCTCCCCACATACACTTACTCGCCATCTCTTGCTCGAGGGAAAAGAAAAATATTGTTAGAAAATGCCGGACGGTGGTGGGCGGCCCCTGATCGATGTGACTCATTAAATTATTCCCCCTGGCCCGCCACATTTGCCTCCCCACCACTCTCAGCGTTCAAGATGCTCGCTAAAGCTTCCTCTTCCTTCCCCGAGTGCCATTAATCTTATTTTTGAACCCCAGCGTCTTTCCCGCCTGGAGGTTCCAATAATATGTTTCAGAGAGTGTCGGATATACCCCGTTGATGATGAGTACCTGGAACCCACAGTCAAAAATTCTCCTAAGATGAAATAAAAATCCTCGTAAGTGAAAAGGTTAGAATATACTCAAATGGTTGACTTACGCTATAAATCAAGGTTCAAATAGAGCATAAAAATTACCTTACGACATTATCTTAATTAGATGTATTTATTTATTAATCAAAGGATAAAAAATTTGCTTATCTATCTTCACACAGACACACACACACTATATCTACACACTCTATACCAACACACACTCTTTACCTACACACACTATATCTACACACTCTATACCAACACACACTCTTTACCTACACACACTCTATACCTACTGTTACGCCGTCTCTTAATTTACTTAAGTATCCAGGTTCTAGGCGTAACCAAAACAAAAAAAATGAAGTAAATTAAAAGGGAATAAAAATAAATAAAGTAAACCTCTAAGAATTTAATTAATTAAATATTAACACAATAAAGAGCCTCGTAGGCTGTCACAACAAATTGATTCACCATCGAAACTTTTAAGACACAAATGATACTAAACATTGAAACATCAAAAGAATAAAAATAAAGCATTGGATTACGTTAACACTGCATAAACACGAACACTGAAATTAACTAACGTGAAACAACACTGAATTACTTAAATGTATCAAAGCAAATACTGATGGACATAAATAGAGACATAAATAGGTACTCACATAGATATACCACATTGGTGGCGACAGGAACAACACAAATAAATTAAGTATAAGTAACAGGTGACGAGTGACACTCAAAGGATGTGAACTGTATGACAAGAAGGCTGAACTAACTCCGTCAGTTGGTGGGTCCTATATATAAGGTCGGCTCCCGCCGGTGGGTCGTTTAACGATGCAGATGGTCGTAGAGAAACATAGAATGCTTGTTACAATACAAAATGGGTTTGAACAAATAATAACAGATAAAACCTTAACAGCACAGGGTAAGGTGACTAGATTATATAATAGTAAATGCAACACATTACAGGAATAATATGGAACATGGAAGCAGGTTATATATAAAAAAAATAGAAAAATACGACACGGTCGTAACACTACACACACACTAACCCAACACACACTCTACACGTCACACACTCTATAGAGAAGTGGGTGTTACTGAAATATTGATATAGCCATTACTGGTCAGAGGGGGAGGTGGGAGGGAGGGAATGAAGGAGGGAGGAGAGAGGGAAGGAGGAAGGGAGGAACGAAGGGTCAAATCATTTTCAAATTTCCGCCAAACAAAACGTGTGTGTGTGTGATGCTCTCTCTCTCTCTCTCTCTCTCTCTCTCTCCGTTATCAACAGCTCCCGGTTAGCCTCCAAAGCCTTATCTATTTACGCCCGAACTTTTGGGGCTACTGTTATCTCTCTCTCTCTCTCTCTCTCTCTCTCTCTCCTTTCGTACTCTCTCTCTCTCTCTCTCTCTCTCTCACACACACACAAAGGGTCAAAATGTTGTCATATTAAAAAAGTTGAAAAGTTTTGATTGGGCAAAATATGACGGACAGGTAATGAGCAATTAAGGAAGTATTACACGCTAAGTTATGATGATGCTGGTCCACAGGTCACAGGTAACTACTACAGGTCACTACAGGTCCACAAGTCACTATATGTCCACAGGTCACAGGTAACTACTACAGGTCACTACAGGTCCACAAGTCACTATATGTCCACAGGTCACAGGTGAGTTAATATTCTTATTATTATTATTAGTAGTAGTAGTAGTAGTAGTAGTAGCAGCGGTAGTAGTCGTAGTATAAGAAGATATAAACACTAATCAATAAATAATTCACTGAATGCTGAAAATGGCTGACGTTCCTATCTCAATATTTTTTTTGTCTTTTTTATACGTTATTCACCAACATATATCAGAGTAAATACGATAGCATACACGTTGGTAAAGATCGGGAGAAATATACACAAGATAAATTGGCATAGAGGCATATAAATAAATAAGAATAGATATATATACCTGTGACCTGAGAGAGGGCAGCTAGTTTTTATTTGCAATCTCGAGCGTTCAGGAATTTACTCCGGCCTATGAGTTTGTTTATTTGTTTATTTTTGGGTATATTACTGTAGGTCAAAATGAGTGTGAGTGTTTGTGTGTGTGTGTGTGTGGTGTGTGTGTGTGTGTGTGTGGTGTGTTTGTGTGTGTGTGTGGTGTGTGTGTGTGTGTGTGTGTGTGTGTGTGTGTGTGTGTGTGTGTGTGTGTGTGTGTGTGTGTGTGTGTGTGTGTGTGTGTGTGTGTGTGTGTGTGTCTGTGTGTGTGTGTGTGTGTCTGTGTGTGTGTGTGTGTGTGTGTGTGTGTGTGTGTGTGTGTGTGTGTGGTATACAGTTCGTACCCAGAGACCCTAGATTAGGTTAGATTAGCCTTACGTTACGTTATGTTACGTTAGCTCTAGGGTGAAGATTCATTGGGTGTTTCAATTATTTTCCTAATAATAATGAACTTACTGTAATGATGCTAATAATATTTTTAATGATGCTCACTTATAACTGATACAGTGTGTAATAGTATATACTGAAATAGCCTATGGGTAGAAAACAATATAACGAGGTCGAGGAGATGAAGCAAACAATATAACGAGGTCGAGGAGATGAAGCAAACAATATAACGAGGTCGAGGAGAGGTAGAGGAGAGGTAAAGACAATTTAAGGACAGGTAGAGGAGACAATGGCAGGTAAGAGAGAGAGAGAGAGGGACGCGACGCCTGGGGGCAAGAGTCACACACAGTCAACCTGCTCCACACCGATCACCATTATCTTCACTATTTATTAAGATATACACCTCTATTATCATTTATTCCTATTACATGATGACTAATCTGAGTTTATTTTTATTAATGCGTTTTATATTTAATGGTTAGGTTAGTTTAAGAGATGTAGGAGTTAAAAAAAATAGTGGGAATGAGATGCTTTGGTAACCGCGTCCAACTTAAGACGGTAACCAGGGGGAGATAGCCGACAGGTTCATCAGTATTTGGGGCTTATTTATCGTCTATTTGTGTGTTATTTACGTTATTTAAGGGTTAGACGTACTCGAGTGGGATGTAGGTGTGTTGTGGGGTGAGTGTGAAAGTGTTAGAGAGTGGTTAAAGGCGAGGGTGAGTGGGTGTTTGGGGTGGGGGGAGGGGAGGAACACACGGAGACAGGTTCACATCTTTCCCGCGAGTGTTGCCCATTCCTGTTACAACTTAAACTTAATTTATTTCGTCTCTTTATTTATACTTCACTAACTCCTCTTAAGCTCAGGTTTAATGACAATTATCGATAGTTTTATTCCTTATTAGCTAAAGGTGTTTAAGTCTCGCCGGTGGTCTTAATGCCAGAGATTATTTGAAATGTGAACAGGTATGACGTTCACCTGGGGCAATCAGGAGCCGAAGGTCCCACACCAGCAGGCGGCCCACACCCCTCACGTCCTCCATGTCTCCCTGCCTCACCTCCACCACACAACCAACAACCAGAATCACCATGTGAAGGAGACACACACACTAGGTGCTCACGGCAACACCTCGGTAGAAAATGTGCTCTGGGTTGTGGCAGACGACAGGTGGTGTGTGTGTGTGATGTGCTGAACCTGCTCTACGGTGTCACGTGTTAATGTGACCACGTGGTGACTTAGTGTACAACATAACAAACAGTGATGGTGTACAGTGACACCTGTTAAAGATCTCTTGTCCAGAAACAGTACAGGCGTGTTTTTGTTAAATGTGAAGTGTAATATCTGTAGATTAATGGTAGACAATGTGGTGAAGTGTGGTGATATGAGGGATTAACTACACTTATTATTTACATACCGTGACTGACACAGTGCACAAATATCTTGGAAATACAGGTGAAAAAGAGATAATTCAGGAGAGGAAGTTGAAGGTGCCAGCAGGTGTGCTGCACCACAACGCACCAATGAGCGCAGTCTGCGCCGGGCGTCTACCATCACTTATGAGATATCTTATACCATGTTTTTTGCAAATAAATAAAAATAAATAAAAACCATAAATTGAAAAATATATATTAATTAAATACTTGTAAATAATAATATTCGTGTGATATTACAAGTAAAGGTAAACGAGCAGTGAAAATATGAAAGATTACCAAATAGAGAAGACATCTAAGCAGGACTGTAAGGCAGCCATTTTGTGGGGAGGTGTTGTGGACGCCGAGCTGATGTAAACAACCTTGAAGGTGAGGTCTGGTCTGTGACACCCCCCTGTGTTTGACCTTCTGGGGGGGGCGAGGAGCTCATCTGACGTGTCCCTTGTGTCCTGACAGGTGTATATAAGTGGTTCACAGTGGCAGGTGTGTGAGAGAGGGTGGAGGCAGGCTTGTGATGTCATCCTCTCTCAGCTGATCGGGGACGAGGTGTTTTAAATCACCTCTACCTGGGGGGTTTAAATCACCTCTACCTGGGGGGTTTAAATCACCTCTACCTGGGGGTTTAATTTTTACATACACCTGTTAACTACCTCAGGGACCATCTTACCTTACCTAACATACTTTTAATGACTTTGTAAGGATAATATTTCATAAATTACCTTACTGTTTATTGTTTGCATAGCTTCTCTCTACATAAGGGAACATTATTAATTTACCATGATTTTACTGATTAATTACCTACCTGTCTATATGTCTACCTGTCTATCTATGAATCTGTTTATCAGCCCATTTATCTGTCTGTGAATAAATGTCATAAATTCTGTGAAAATGTATTTGATTATTAAATTATTGTCTTTATCTTTGTTTTAATTGATTATTTATGTCTTATTAGGGGGTTTAAATGTCTGGTAGTTTATGTCTTATTATGGTTTAAATCCCTGATAGTTATGGCTGTGTGTTTGTCTGTTAGTCAGGTGTCATCATTATTTAAGGCTGATTTTGTTCTTCTCTCTTAACTAACAATTTTGGGGATTTTGTTTATTGATTATTTGATGATATGTCAATTGTTAAGACTAATAATAATGATAATACAATAATAGTCATAATGCTTTAATATTTATTCAGTAATATCATCATTCAACTTTACTGTTGGTTCAGCTTATATGTAGATGCCAGGTATACAGTTTAGTCAGATACTGTATATAGACAATGCAGGTATACAGTTTACAACATAAACTATACAGTGTTCATAGACCGTGGAGGGATACAGTAAGGCACATTGACCGAGGATAACCAACAATGCCACCTGATGCTTCCTATCCATCATGGTGGTTATGGTACCATGAATTTCTTTTAAATCAAGAAAAATAAACTGACTGTACCCAACATTGTCTTATCTAAGTGAACTAGACAATAGACTTTTAGTGTTAGGTTTGAGTGTTATAGTTTATCAGATTTAAATTATGTATTTATGTGATTTTTGCCACAAGTGGAATTTCTGCAATGAATTTGATGAGTAGAGGTTGTTAATGATCACCTGAAGATTGCCCCCCCCCAGCTTATTTCACCTGAATATTAACTAACCTAATTTAACCTAACCTAACCTCATCTCCATATAGAGTGTTTGGGTGGTTAATCTTCAAGTGAAATAAGCTGGTAAATCTTGAGGTGGTCTGTTAAATATCTCCTGATCACATAAAGTTATAAGGTTTGTGTGAGTGAATAAAAACATGTAATTATAATGTGGATTTTGTTTGTGTTGCAGATAAAGAAGTAGAGTGTGTAGGCGTCCCTCTTGTGGCCCGGTGAACACAAGACTGACACAAACGTCGGGAAGTAAGGCTTGTGTTTCTTGTGTTCCACTACAACTGCTTGTTTGAAAAGTTTGCCTTTTGCTTTGCATGAGTCTTATCAGTTCTGCCTCATTTTTTTATCATTATTATTATTTGTAGTTCGTTAGTTTGGTACGAGTCTTGCCTCGATGAAGACGTCAATAATGGATAAGATCAGAATATTGAGGTCGAGGCACAAGAAGTGTAACCTGAAGAAGGGTAAACCCCCTTCACCCGTAGTGGACCCCTCGTCCCCCTCACAGTCCCCCACTGTGTCTGAGACCCCCCAGCAGTGGGTGCCGGTGCTGGTGCTGGATATATCTCAGGCTAAGAGCACCCCAGTTACAACCGGCATCCCGGTCGTGACCAGTATGCCTGTTACAGCGAGTAACTCGGTGACCAGAGGCGTCACTGCTAAAAAAGCCATCATAATTAAAAAGGGTAGCATTAAGAGTGGCACTAAAGGCAGACCCTCACACAGAAACAATGTTCCTCAAAGTCAGCCAGTTGCTATCAGTGCTCCTGAGACGGTGGACTACCCATTAGCTCTTCCTGTCCCTGAGAGTACAGGTATTCTTAATGTTCCTGAAAAAATGTTCAATGTCCCTGAGAGAATTAACATTATAGAAATGGCAGAGGAGACCAACAAAGAGAGCTTGGTCAACACAGAGGTGCTGGAGGAGACCAATAAGAAGAGTGACAGTAGTTGCACTAAGCCAGTCAACTGTGTTTTTTGTGATAAAACTTTCCCATCTCTGGAAGACATGCAGGCACACTACCTAAGCACACACAAGACCCGCAGGAGCCGGGATGGTCGTAAAAGAAAGCCCACCGTGGAGAATCTGGGAACACAGTCACAAGCAAACCAGAAGGTCGCTCCTAGCGGGAGTGAACAAGAAGCAGAAGAGTCACTCTTCCCAGTGACTGACAAATCAGAGATAGATCCCAAATGTCCGGTGTGTAGCATTGCCTTCAGAACAACAGATGAGGTGAAGAACCACATAAAGGAGGTCCATTCTTACACTTGTTCAGAGTGTAGCAGTACTTTCTACAGCCTCTTTCACTTCACTAACCACAAATGCTCTAAAGGAACAAAAAAAGTCAGGAGAGGAAGAAAAAAAGTCAACAACAACACGACGATGAAGCCCGAGGTTGTGAAGGTCATGAACAGCTTTGTTAAGATTCAACCCAAAACAAAAAAAAAAGGCAAAGCTTCCTCAACAAATACTCAGAAACAAACATCACCTCCACCCTTAAAGAGAATACAAGGCTCTCCTCCCTTAGTCAGTCCTGGTGTAGAGAATGATGATGTGAAGCCTCTCATACTAGATTCTCTCAGTGTACCAGAAGTTCAGACAAACTTTGTACTGTCTCCAGCTGGTGGTGAAGCTACAGCTAGTGTTGAAGAAGCAGCAGCACTTCCTCCCCAGGAGACTGAGAGTGTTGATCAGAAGATCCTTGAAGAGGACTCCTACTGTCTCCCCTCCATCACCACGACCTACACTCTCAAGTTGCAGCCAAACAGTACTGAAAATAAAACTGTGAGTGCTAACATTCAAGTTATAGAAACTAGTAATATCCACCAAGCCAGGCAGCTGATCAGAGAAACAAAGCCAGTTGATAGTAATGTTTCTAAGAGTGAAGTAATAATGGAGAAAATTGCACAATTGAAAAATAACCCCAATGTCAGCATATCGTGGATGCCAACTCTGAAGATCAAGAAGCAGGACGACGGAGAGTTCGTTTGTGGGCGGTGTAACGTTATCTGTGACGACATGGAGGACTACATGGACCACATCCAGGACTGTCTCAACATGACCAGCGTCACACTACAGCCGACCTCCAACCCCCCTCGCAGGTTCCTCAGACTCCAGTATGAATCCTCCTCCTTTGGCTTTTGGGAAACCAACAATAACAGATACTCGGTGAACCAGAACCTCATCAATAAATTGAAAGCCGTTCTCCCACAGTCAGAGTACCACGGTACTAAACCAGCGGCTGCGGAGAACGCGTGGGTCGCCCCCGTGAATTCCACCGCCCAGACATTTCGAGACCTTCTGGATGACGACTTTGGCTACGAGTCTTACGAGTCCATTGACATGCACACCGGAGGCTCTGCGTCACCCGTGAGTCCAGTGACAAAACAGGGAGACTCCTCGGTGGTAGCATCAGCGGTGAAGTCTCCCAAGGGGAACCAGATACCTGTACTTCAGAACCAAGCTGGAGTAACACAGAATAAAGTCTTTGTAAGTTCTGCCAAGGCAGTGCAGCCTATGGTGGTCATACCATTTGAGTCAAAGGCCAAGTTTAATTTAAATGTAATCTCTGACCAATTGTCAAAGAATCCCGGAAAGTGCGAAATTACAGAGAGTGTCGGAGAGAGTCTTCCTCCACACGGTGACTTGAGCTGTCAGCCTTTTACCGCCTGCGGTTCTCCCTCCATGGTCGCCTCACCCCTGGACATGCTACTAGACCAAGATGAAATCAAGATGGAGGTTGAGGAAGAGGTGGTTGAGGATCACTATGAGGTAAGGCACTCTGCTTAGCCTTAGACTGGGTGATGGATGTAGGTTGGTGTTGGTGGTTAGGTTAGGTGATCCTCATCTGCGATATACTCCACTGTACCTAGATGGTGTCTGGTCAAGTTGCATATTTCTCCTATTATTTTTATCAGCGAGTGTGTGTGTGTGTGTCAGTGTGTTGGTTGCTACTCACTAACAATTTACTTGGAAAGTCTTTTACACTCCTGAACCAACTTTAACTTATCTAATAGCCAACAACTAACTTAATGTCATATTATGCTTCATTATTGGCTGCTTATCTTCTTCAGGGTGCTGGCGCTTATCACGTTCTTCAAAATGTTCCCACGTTTGAGCTTTTTATTCTCACCTGTCGGGCTATGAAACTTTTTGCTGATATTCTGTACTGGGACACAACAACTGGTTCACAGGACTTGTATCACACTTATCCACACAAACACCATTCATATTTATCTGTGGCTCTTAAATGTTAATATCGACACACAGTATTTTACACAGACCCTTGATGCGACTAAATGACACAAAGAATATATTGGAGAGAGTACATAGGAGTCAGTAATAGTTAGGGAGTTGTGTACCTTGGATAGATAGCCATGAACAGGCTTACATTAACCTCAGCCTATAAGAGACAATCAAACCCAGAAGAGAGTGAGTGTCTTCGTGACGGTTACCGTGGCTGCCATAAAAGTCAAAGACCGATATATGTTATCTGTTTATAGATGACATCAGTGATACTAAATAATAATATACGAATGAGGAAATCTGTTGTAGAATGTAGAGGAGGTGTTGTAGTCATCTCACAAGAATTATTATGTAGATATTGTTGCTCTGTGTACTGTAGATGGAAGATATATTTTGGTGTAGGATATTATTGGAGTCTTTCACAGCTGTTACCTCTGTCAGTATGTCTGTCCACTTATATTGGAGTTATTTGATAAACCCTGAAGATATATGTGTGACTGTGGAAATCTCGTTAACTGAAAGACCACAAAAAAAAAAAAAAAAATGTGTTAGAAATAATTTACGATGGTGTTGTATGTACCCGACAGATATGCTGGTGTTAGTGTTGCGTTCTGGACCACTATTTTAGCCCCCGATAAAAGCCTCAGTGATGGTCTCCTGTACTAAAATTTTCTCACGGATTTAATGCATAGAATTCTAATCTTCCCTTCTCGAGGTAAGTTCTCCATATCACAACACCATACTGCATGATAGTAATCCTTCACCACATTTATACACGGTAGAATGCTCCACCTGTCTTCGTTGCACAGTGTGAATGGTTTTGTTTTGTTTGTCGGTACAGGTAGTAATGGGGTACCTTGCTGTAGTGGTGAATCTGCATGTGATGAGTTTTCTGTTCTTGTGTACTGTAGTTTCTGTAGCTTGATCCTAAGTGCATTTGAGTGTAGTAGTGTATTGTTGTTGTTGTTTTTTCGTAATCTATCTTCAGTTAATCACTAGTACGGAGTATATAAAAATCTTTTCCTTGTTCTTTTTTCTTCACCCTGTTCTGAAGAATGACTGTCAGCTCGGCTTCTTTTTTTTTTTTAGGTTTTTCCCTGATAAAAAGATAAGTAGATTATATTGTAGTAGTTGATTTGCTTATGCCATTATACTGTACAGTTTTGTTTGTGGATATATATTCATGGTGGTGTAGAGAATATATTTTTAATTCTTGTTTTGTTTTTTTAGATAACAACAATTTATGTTTCCAGGAATGTTTTTGTTTTTTTTATTCTTTTGCTACACATTTTTATTTTCTCTTTTGCAATTCTTTTTTTTTTAATTATTAGTGTATTTTTTTACCAGCCCACTCATATTAATATGAAAATAAATAGAGTTCATATCAATACTAACACTCCTTCATAAGTTTCCATTCTATATCACTTAAATTCCCCATCAAAACACCAAGTCCTTCCCTCTGGCCTCTTATGGCAACCTTATAAGAGAGTTGCCATTTTGCCACAGAGAGATTTATTGACAGTAGGAATCATAATCACCTGTGGCTGTTTCTCTACCTCTTTCTGTCTGTTAGTATCACTTTAAGGCACAGTTAGACAGTTTGGTTTTGTACTGTTATCCTCCCTATTGAGTAGACTGTACAGACTGGGTGAGAACTGACTGACGCGTAGCAGCCTCAGAATAAATAACGTTTGTACCGCCGGTATATATATATTTTTTACTGGTGTATGTTATGTATTTTTTATTATGTACTGTAGTATGTATGATGTACTGTTTTGTAATATGTATACTGTAATACCCAGTACAGTACATAATGTATGTTGTGTAGCATGTATGATATATGCTGTGTATTATGTATGATGTACATTGTGTAATACAGTATGTATGAAATATGTTATGTATGATAATAATGGATAATTTTACATAATATGTTTCAGCTATGTTTCACCCAGGCTGTATAGGTATAGTTCAGGTGTGTGCCTTGACTCCACCTTTGCTGTCATAACATCATTTAACACGTACAGTTCTACAGTTTCTGTGGGAGTGCGGTGGTTGAGTGGATACGGCATTAGCCTCCTGTTCCGTGTGTCGGTGGTTCGATCCCCGGGCGCTCCCAGTTCACCCACCTGTAAATGGGTACCTAAGTGAAGGCGGTCGAAAGCAGTACCGGCCATGCTGCCTCCCTGTGTACCGAAGGCTTAGTAGTCATGTTTATGTGCCCCACTCTCACTGTTTATGTCATGTGTTGAAAAAAAAAATTGCCTGCAGAGTGGTAGAGCAATCATGGCACAGTAGGCTGGCTCGTGGTAATTAGTGTGTCCGTCCGTGTTCACTGTTGCCGCCATAACTTGTGATGCATGACAGCAATGTTTATACTGTACTAACTTTTTATCTAATGTTTTAATTCATCGTGGACCATAAACCAAGTGACAATGAGTGGGTAACCTTGAACTGCTAACTGAGGTCATAGTGGTGTAGTAGTTGACCTGAGATGAACTATTACATGAGATCATAGTGTTAGTTGACCTTTTTACTAAATTATCTGATGATGATAATTGATCCAACAACAAGAATAATTTTAATATAATTTTTTTTTAGTTTTTATGATAACTACTAAAGACTTGTGATATTGTTATATAGGAGGAAATGGAGGTTCAAGTGATGTTTGGTGTTGTGAAGTTGAGTAAACATAAACAGTACAGCACTCAGAGCGATGACACACTTGTATTCTTAGAGCTGGTGTGTGTGTGTGTGTCGGGTCTTGCTGCTGGAAGACTGTACTGTACTGAGTGAACCACAGAGTTGACATTTAGTGGATCAATATAAACATGGAGAGGATGACCCATTATACACCATCCCTGACACCAGATGAAAGCCCTAAACTGATTAATTGTAAAATGACTTTGAAATATTATATAATTGGATATTCTATAATGCAAAACACAGCTGAACTTATGAACACCGGCAGTTAACCAGATTTATGATGGGTAGTGAGACAACATTCCTGAAGCTCCTGTTAATCTGTGTGATGAGGAAAAAGAGTTGATTTATCACACGAGGGGAGCGGTGTGTCTAGAACGGCTGCCTCGAGACTTCTGCTCCTGTGATGGATGACTGGTTGTTATGTATTGTATTAGGTTAATGTGTTCAAATGTTCACCCCTGGGAGAGTGAGTGGGAGGGTGGGAATTAGTTCAAAATTAAAAACTTATGGAACTTTTATCAATGTAGGCTATAGATGGAGTACTGTACCTTGATGGTTACTTTCGACTAAACACTACATTTATGTTATTCTTACTTCAGAAAAAAGAACTGTACCCTCTGTTTTCTTAAGATGGTACAGTAATTTGTTTTATGTATTTAGTATTTAAAAAAGTATTCTATGCAGCAGTATTGTTCAACGTCTACATTAAGCTTGGTTTTAAATATGCTTTACTGAAGTCAAGTTTGTTAATAAAGCTTTGTAAGCAACATATTGTTCGTGAGACAAAGACCAAACTCTGACTGACTAAATCCAACCGGTAATTGGACTTCATTGTATACTGATATAACGACCATCTGACTCACCTCGTTTGAAGTCTTTTGAGTAGTCGAGAAGTTTTAATAGATGCATAAACACTACACTGCAGTAGCCAGTTGTTTGATGTATATAAAAAGTGACTCGGATGTAAAGACTTATCCCGGAAAAAGACTAGTTTAACTCATCAAAGGATACTGAAGTGACTCGGAAAATTAACTTCACGATAGAGTTGGTAACGCTGAGGGCCAATTAGTGTACAATATTGACGAGCGGGGAATGAATATGTTCCACTGTGTCGTTGACCTTGTTGTTTACCAGATGATGTGACCTTATACAGTATAGTGGTGCTGACCTCATAACAGAGGTGCTGATCTCATAACAGTGGTACTGACTGCATATTAGTGACATTGATCTCATGATAATTGTACAGTACTGACCTCATTATAGTAGCACTAACTTCACTATACAAATACTGTACTACAATGTGACCTCCTTAAAAAAAATACATTACTCTGAGTCGCACTTTAATTTTTTTATGTGAAATTTCAGTGCATATTTTTAAACCTGTAATGTTATTTGTGAGGAAATTGAGATATAGATTTAATAATAGTGGACCTGTATCTTGTGTACAGTATATATGTTACAGTCAGTGTGTCAAATTAGGGAGTATGTAAGATGTGCTGTTTCATGTTGTGTATAGGTTAGGTTACTAATACATTCAAGTCTTGTGTTTCAGGATTCATGACAGATCAAGACCTTCTGTGAAAACTAATAAAGCAAAAGACTGTATTAGTTTCTAGGTCTTGGTATAGTCGCTTATCAAGACAAAAAAAATAAGGTTGTGAAGTGCAGTGCTAATGAGTTAAGGATGTTAGCATAAGTAAGTAAATAAGCTTGTAAGTGTTAGACTATTAGAGGATATAACGTATCCTGGGCATAAAACTGGAACTTGTTTTTGTGTTACGTTCTGCGGGTCACAGTCTACATTCTCCGATGCATTCTTCGTGGACCTCATGAGAGAAAATGTCCGTGGGTCAACGATGCACGTGCTGGAATATAACCTAACTAGAAAGAAAAAAAAGCAAAGTATGGGTCATGGATGTTGTGGTGTACAATTAATATTAAAGAGTCTACCCATTGACGCAGCCTTGTTGACGCAGTGTCTTTAAGGTATTGGAAGGCTCGTGCAGTAAATAAGTCGACACCTGATCAACTCCGCAATAAAGTAACACTGTAACTCTCCGTCCTGTTGAACGTGATGGGTCTTGAGGAAAGATAGTTGGAAGGATACCGTTCAAGAATCGTCCAATAGGATTACTGTATATATTTCCCGAGCTGTTGAAAGAACCAGAAACTAACTAAACCAAGAAGAAGGGATCAAGATGTGATATAACCCAAACTTAACGTTATTTTAAGAGAAATACACGAACTCCATGGCAGAAAAAACCCAGCGTGAATGATCAAGATCCTCGCGGGGAAGCTGCCGGAGTGGGTGAACTGTGTCTTGGAAGAGGACCCGGGGAGGTGGGGGTGACGTGATGGAGGTGCTGCCCACTCATGAAATATACATCAAGGAAGAACCCGAAGAGGATGTGAAGGTTGGTCTTTACTGTTTGTTTATCTTAAGATGTGACAGATGATTAAATAAGTCTTGTTAGTCTGGGTAAACTCACTGTGGCTCTGTGATTCAGTTTTTAGATATACTATAGGTGGTTAGTTTTGATTTGTTTTCATACATTATAGAATTAGGGATGTAGAGTATAGTTTAGGTATTTTTAATAGGAGAGAAGTTAGAGATATTCATTTATATTTTATTAGTGTTGACTATTTTTCTTTCCTAGATAAGGTCAGGTGAAAGAATGATGACAATGATAACTAGTTTATTGTATTATTAATATCTGTACATGGATGTCTGGGTCATGTGTGTGTTCTTGTGGCGAACGGGCTTGTTTGATCGTATATTAACATTACATCGTTGGCTGTCTTTGTCTTTATGTGTGTATGTTAGTTGATCTTATTATGTGGTCAGGAACAGAGGTTATAGGAGAGGCTGTGTCTCATCTACAGGTAAAGGTTGAAGTTGAAGATGACAGATGTGGTTCAGTTGTGGGTCCCAATGTTGACGACCCACTCCTACAAGAGCGAGTCCTCTGTGTTGAATCTGACGGGCACGAGTTTGCTCTTGGTGAGGACCATGACGGGGAGGAGACGGACCACGGAGAAGACTTGTCCTCCGACGAAGAAAATGGGAAACTGGTAATGATGGATTTTAATTTTCTTGGAATAAGGTAAATTATAAATTAGTACAATAAAAGATAGAGAAGAGTTTGGCCAGTGTGTGAGAGTAACAAATGGTGGTGCTGTGTTAGTTGTTACTGAGTGATTACAGGTAAAACATCCTTACAAAACCAATGGATGATATCAGTGTCTTTCATGAAACGTTCTCTTGTCAGTGTGTGAAGCCAACTCGCTCATTTCTCCTTGTTAAGCAATACCTGTACTGTGAAATAATGTCACGAACTCTTATGAAAACAGTTGTGTGCTGATTGTTGCCAGATATACATAATTATTATAATCCTCTGCTGTGTGATAAATTCAATACCAGACTAATATATGCAAGTCCTATCCCTGTACTGTATGTTACTTGAAAGTTTTAAATGTTGATGTGTTTTGTATAAAGTTGTGAAGGAGTTTTCTCTTGTGACAGGATATCCTGGAGTGTCCAATGTGCAGCAGAAGATATTCAACGGCCGCCTCACTCCGAGCACACCTCAGCAAGAAGCACCGGGTGGCCTTGGGACCTTGTTACACCTGTCACCTGTGTGGTGCCATCGGCCAGTCCAAGGCGACCCTCAAGCGACACCTCCTGAGGACTCACGGTGAACAGAGTATCCTGCGACCGGAGCTTCTTCGGAAGGTGAAGTTCATGTTTGGTCTTTTGAGGGATCATGCTTAGTTCAATCCAAATCGTGACACACTAGGGTTTCATCACACTCTCTAAGGCTCTGTTTGGACTTCACGTACGGTACTAAAAGACAAATGGTCAACCCGAACACCATCCAGCATTTATATTTATGTTGTTCCAACTCCCAATTCTCCCAGTCTTCTGTTCCAAATTATCAATGCAATCTGGTGGTTGTTTGTGACAGTCCATTACTTTTTGAACCAGGCTCCTCTGTTACCTGCCTTCACTGTTCACTTCTGTGACCCATTAACCCCAGCATCCAACACACCCACTACCCACTATGTTATAATGTCAACATATTCTCAGTCTTCAAGATGGCCTACACTCCTCTACCTCCAGGTTGAGACTCTGTTCATGGTAGTCTGATCTCAGAAAGACAATATGGCCGGGTATTTCTCACATTCAGAGAAGACGAGACACACACCATCTTCCTCGAACATCTGAGGTGTGCACTTCATGTAATAATGTGTTTTTCATCAGTGTCGTCACTGTGGAGAAGGACTGACCTCACAAGCAGCGCTGTACAAACACATCTCTCTGGCCCACGCGGAGGAGCTGGACCAGTACCACCGCTGTCCAGTCTGCCCGGCGCTGGTCAGGAGTCGGCCCTCACTACTCAGGCACTTTGGGTAATTGTTTCTCATCTTTGGAATGGACAAAATATATAATAATGTGCCACATATATCATAACACTGAAGTCCCAATGCTCTTGTTTTTTGTGTTTTACCTTCTCCTATAGTGAGAGTTCAGTGTTATCCAGCTTGTGTATGTGAGACAGCAAGAAAACTAGAAAACTAAATATGGCATTTGTGTTCCTCCTTTATACATCCTACTGTTCTAGAGGGCACCCACAGTTCACCCAGCTGTAAATGGATTCCAAACTTTACAACGGGTGAGGTGAAGGCTGTCAAGTGCAGTGTCAGCCATGTTCCCTTCTTGTTTACTCAAGGCTTAATATACAGTGTAATACTATTTCCTCTTGGGTCATCAGGCCCTTGGGATGCACTTTTTTCACACCTGGAGCAAGATAATCCCTTCTGAATTTAATACTGTTCCTATTCAAAAGAAGTTAGGAGTATTAGCCGTTTTTTGTTTTTTTTTGGTCACAGGTAATAGAAGAAGAATATGTTGTGGCATTTATAGATATAGAAAAAAAGATATTGAGTTTAACTAGATCAGTGTTTTGTTAAATGAGAAGTTGATTAATGCTGTCCAGAGTTTGTAAAGAGGGAGTGATGCCTTTCCCTCTCTATAATGTGTACAGTATTTCCATTCATTTACATAATATTATTTACAATTACAGTAGGAGTCACCCAGGACTTAAGCTCCCAGGGCAGGAGAGTGAGAGATGTACAGAATGCAACGCCGTCTTCAGGTCACGCACGGCTCTCAGGGTCCACCTCAAGACCAACCACCCGGAGTCTCTCGTACTCAGGTGTAAGATCTGTGCCGCCACCTTCAAGTATCCCTACCTCCTCAACCGTCACATTAAGGTCAGGGCTTGGACCAGATGTACTCTATATTCAATTCTATATATTTTAATTAATATTTTTTAAATATTTATTGTTTAATATGTTAGTGGTAGTTAATGGTCAATACAGTACAGGTATATGTATTTTAATGAATATGTTTAAATTCTTAATTGTCTGAGTATGTTCACAGATATGTAGGTTTTAGATGAGAGTTTGAGTACAGGACAGTGTGTTCAGTATAATTTTTTTTTATCAATATTTTTTATTTAATTGTTTTAGTTTGTTATGTATTTTTGACAATACTACACACATGGGAACAGATGGATTTTGTATGATAAGTTATTAATATTTGTGTCACAAGTTAGCTTTATTAGTCTGGCTTGTTCTGTTGGCAGCCTTAAAGTTTTCACGGTATAATTCATTCACTACACACAGGCAGCCCACGAAGAAAAACTATTGCCCACTCCAAAACGTCGATACAAATGTGTGGAGTGTGGGCGGGAATACCGCGTCAAGACTCACCTCGAGAAACATGTAAAACACGTACACACACACCCAGAGGAGCGAGTGTTTCGCTGTACACTCTGCAACATCACCTTCCCAACAAACAATCATAGGTTAGTGTCTTTGTACTGTTGACATTGCAACTGTTTATTAAGATGAAAATAAATAATACATTAGTGTCTTTGAGTGCACTATCGAAATTAAAACTACTAATTTAGACAAAATTAAATTTATCATTTCACAGTGAATCAGCTTACTAGTTGTTTGCACAGTTGGTCTGTTCTTTGTTACTTTTTTCTGACCTTTACTGTCCAGTGTTATTACAGGAGGAAACTTGAGTACCCAGAGGAAGCTTGTGATGTTTGTTAGTGTCACACTGGATAAAACCCTTCTCACATGTACCTTGAGCCAGGACTTGAGCTCTTGACATAGTAGTGAAAGATACACATGTTACCACTGTACCATTCTTCAGTTTCAGTTTATTTTGCAGAGTTCGTCACTATAGAGCAGTACATCGTGACAGGAAGCGGCCACACTGCAGCGAGTGCACAAAATGCTTCGACACGGTGGAAGAGTTGAACCTTCACAGACAAGAGCACAAAATGAATTGTTCTGTGTGTGACAAAGCATTTCTAGTAAGTGAAAGTATATTTCAAACAACAAATTTTTTTTTATCCCATGAAGATTATGAACTCCAGCTTATATCACTTGATGACTAAACACCATAATGCTGAGTGGAGTGGTTAGGTTTGGTCAGCATTACATTAAGGTGGTCAGACATCAGTAGAAATAAGGGGGAATTCTTAATCTTCACCACTGTCCCTTTAGTTAACTACCACCAATGATGGTTGCCACTTAAGGGCTATAAAGTTTGGTTATGTATTATACATTTGTGGACACGTCGTGTCAGAGGAAAGTCAACAACTGTACTGGTATAATGTGTGTTGGGGAGGAACTTAATTCTGAGACTACTGTGTGATTAACTCCCCCCCACAGCGGCGTGACTCTCTAAGGGAACACCTCCTGATACACAACGGTCCCAAACTTCCCTGTCCTTACTGCTCCAAGACCTTCACCCAGAACTCCAATCTCAAGAGGCACATCCGTATCCACACAGGTGAGGGAGGTAGTGGGGTATCTGATGATAGACACAGCACTGTATCAACGCATACAGCAGTAAGTTATCTGTTCAGTCCAACATGTGACATGATTTCTATATTTTTACATTCAGTCGGGCTATGCATTGTCATTACCTATCCAAACATAATGGATCTTTTGTTTGAGTACATTGTCTTATGTGATTTATTCTTCTTTTCCAGTTTATAAGTTTCTCAAAGACAATTATTATTTAATGTAAATTCATATCTCTTTCTTTCAATTTTGGATTCAGATTCTCTTAGCATGTATTTTAGTAAACTCTTGTTATGCTAATATTAAATATACAAGTATACTACATGTACTGTATCTAATTATAAATGTGTACAGTCAGGGTCCAAAGTTCTTGCAAAACTTTCACGGGAATGAGTCTCTGAACTTGTATACCCTGACTATCGTTTGGTGCCGGTGTGCTGTTTTATTTAATTTGGGGTCAAGCTGCTTCACACAAACTTTTGACCCTGACTGTACCTATCATAACATGGTCAATTTTTCTCAGTGGCATTAAAAAGTCATTTTAGACATTATCCTTTAATTTATTGAAGTATGTGGTTATAGGCAACACATAATTTGTTTGAATATTTTGAAATTCAGGTTTAGTGTTGTAGAGTTACAGCCTCAGTTATGTAGCCAGTCACAGGAATTGTTTAGTGTCTTTGAGGTATGAAGAGTAAGTTACATTTTTATATTTTCTGGAATAGATATTTTGAAAGTGATTTTTTTCTTTACTTTGCAGGTGAGAAGCCTTACAAGTGTACCTTCTGTAACAAACGCTTCGGGGACAAGTCAGCTTGTAACAGTCACATCCGCGTCCACACGGGGGCCGAACGCTGTAAGTGCCACTTGTGCGGCGCCTCTTTCTCCAAGCGTCAGAAACTCAACTACCACATGAGGAAACACACTGGGGAGGGCCTCCTCCACTGTCCTCTCTGCACCAAACCAACGACGAATTCTTATGCACTCAAGAAGCACGTCGAGACTCACCAACAGGCACTTGTCCACGTGCTGCTCAGTATGGGGATGGCGGACGACGTGGAGAATTGTCCCCAGCTGGCACTGAGAGCACTGCACAACCTGGCCTGCACCACGGTACAGAACAGTGAACACCATCGCTTGAGGAAAATGGAGTACGTAGACACGGAGGCAGATAAAAAGGACGGAAGGGAGACAAAGGTGACTGAGGATGCACACCGTCGTCGTCCTGACAACACAGACGCAGCTTGTGAGCTTGAACTGAAAAATGACGACGAAGACGTCAATCTTGAATTTACGAGTATAGACGTGAAGCCGCCGAGGTCGATCATCATCCTAGCTCATGCCGAGGAATACACGCAGTCAAGAACAAGCGAAGGTACAGACATCAGAGATAACGACCAGTATAACAGTAAGACTAATGACGAGATGAATCTGTCGTGCAAATCAGTAGTGGATGATGACGCTCTGAATCATAAAAAACATCAGCGTAACGTGAGACTAAAGAAGGAAAAAGAAGAGGAGGAAGATTTTAGGGGAGTGGTCGCAGAAGAAAACACTATCACTATTACAATGAATGTGGAACCTTGTGATATAAAATGTGAAGTTGATCCCTTGGCATTAGAAGACAGTTATGTTGATGTGGAAGAAGGCGACGATGGGTCCACTGATGATTTCCTGAGTAAACAAACAAAAAAATCATGGAAGAACAGACGCAATAAAATGACAACAGAAGGAAAATGGACGGGACAGAACAACAGTGTAGAGTGTGATAAGCAGAGAGACTTGAGGGATGGTGAATGTATAAAGAGAAGGTGTGGTGCTAACAAGGACACTCCGGTGAAAAAACAAAAGCGAAGTGAATTTTCAGCGGTCGACAATGACAATGTGGGTGGTGGTCCCTGTCTGCCCAGTGGAGTACACGAGAAGCCGATGGTGGTCTTGACGCGTCTGTTGCGCCACATCCTTGAGTCTTGCTGCCAGAGGTCGGAGGTCGCCGTCACCAAGCCGACCCTCGGAGACCAGTTGGTAGAACAGTGTCTCCAGATTATCATGAACGATGACGCAAGTGGTGAAGGCGTCCGGGACTTGGGCGGTGATGCTGGTGTTGATCTCAGGCTACACCATGATTCATATACTACTGAGGATTCTGGTCGACTCTCTGACCATGATTTTGATACAGATGTTGATGTTAAATTTGATAAATCTAGTGTTAATATTAGCTTATCCTCAGAGGCAGACTCTGTTGTTAGTAAAAATAATAATGTCAGTGAGGGTAAAAAAGGTTTGGATGGCAGAAGAATAGGTGATAGGAAATTAATCATCCCTGAAAAATGTGACAGTCCCTCTGATGCCTCTTGTACTGTTACCTCAACTGATAAACATGAAATTCATACAAGTGATTCAAAAAATATTTCTAGAAAATCTAGGACAAAGACGATTTTTACTGGTGTTAGTGTTGATACAGAAGCAAATTTACTTGAATCATCCAGACTTGAGTGTGACCTGACCCCTAAACTGTGTGTTGATGGTGAACTGTTCTCAGACACTTCAGACAGTTGTTATTTACAGTCTTTGAATTATTCCCGTGAGTCAGGTAGAACTGTCACATGCCCAAAACCTTTAACTTCCAACAAAAGTGAAAATCATCATAAGTCTTTTACAGAAGTCTCTGGCGTGTGTCTGGACCTCAGCCTCAGACGTAAGTGCAGGGAACACCAGAACCAATCGTCGCATTCTTCCACATCCTCTCCAACCAAACTGAACATTCGTTATAAGAAAAAACCTCAAGGTGGCCCCTTAAGAAAGTCCAGGAACCAAGATAAAGAAACAAGTCAGAGTGAGGACTGTGAGAAGAGAACACCAAAGTTATATACAATTCATAAGACAAATTCTAATAAGGCTGAGAATATGGAGGTGGTGTCCTGTGACTCTGATGAAGGCTGTTCATCCTGCAGCGATCATAAGTGTAAAGAAGGAAATATTGCCTCATCACCCAGGGCCTGTAAGAGTAGCCAAGAGGTAATAAGTGATGATTGTGAAGTGCTGAGAGGACCTATACCAGTACATTCTGCAGAAGGTGTTGAGGAAAGGGAAGATTATAGAAGTGTCAACAGTTTGAAGGGAAGACACCCAAGTGAGAACCACAGTAGTAGCAGAGGTTGTGATGGAAGAGGTAAGGCTGCAAGTGTAGATAAACATGATGGGAATAAGCTTGATCAAACAAGAATTGTGCCTGATTCTGTGAAAGGTTTAAGACATCAGGAGAAGCAGAAAACAGTTGGTAAAGATTACTGTAAGGACAGAGTGAAGCAGCTTTCACTGGAGGTACGTAATGTAAAAGGTAATAGCCTCGTAAAGAGGGATGTTGACCCTGCAAATAAAGACGCTGAACCACCGACCGTGAACTTGGAGGAAGTTCCACCAGCAGATTGGTGTAAACATTCTAATCTGAGTAGAGGTTTTGTCAGTTCCTCAACAGACAAGAGACATCTACCATTACCCAAAGGGAAGGAAGTGTCTCACCTGTGGAGGATCAGTCAGACAAGTCCTGCTCGACCTGTTTATCCAGTTGTAGAAAAGTCAACCAAATGTTTCTCCTCACCATCAGTCAGTGTCTCTTATAAGTCATACGTACCTGCAGATGGCCGCGCTGAAGAAAGAACTTGTGATTAAGAATTGCTTCCTTGTGGCAGCTGTATTGATGGGTGTTGAGAGAAGGGTCTTAACTCCTTCATGATACAATACTGTTGCAGACTATCACACCATATTGTATATAATTATAAATCACCCACTGAAATTATAGTTATTGCTTCAACCATCACTGCAGAGAAACATTACTTCAGTGTCAAAATCAAAGTTGATCTAAAACTTTCTCATCCGACCGTGTTTAACAGATTGTGATTTAAGCTAAGAGCTCCTCTGATGTGGGTAAATGTAAGAGTAGGGTTATCCCAGAAATGGTTCTGTACGGTCACACTTCTTGATACAGTCCACATAGATAGTTAGATTACCTGATAAATTTAGGTGGACCCTTCTCACCCACACCTGTACTGTACTCTCACATCCATCTGCTGGTTGCCCCCAGGGTGGATGCTCTCTCTCTCACATGCACCAAATTTAGTCTTAACTCTTCCAGTTCTCTTTAGCATCATTTTCATCAAGTCCCTCGAGTCGTTACATTGTAAGTTAACGTTGCATCTCGTATCACTGACCTGTTTTGAAATCTGTCTTCTGCTGTCGCTCATATTCCCGGTAATCCAGCACTGTCTGTGTGTCTCCAGTGCATTGCTACCTTTCTCTGTCTTCATCATTGTTGGTTCGCCACATGTCTATGGTCTTCCACCTCACCTGTCGCCTTTATGCTATTTTCCCTTACTTCCTGAATCTCATTATAGTACAGTACTGGTAATACTTTGCTTCTCTTCTTGTGCCGTGACATGATTTAGGTGTCTCATATTTTTGTAGTTTTCATCACTCGTTCATCTCTCACAGTCATCCATCCCCATGATCGTTCATACAATATTCCATTTCGTGTCTAGGATGACAATTTATCTCAAGACTTGGAGTTCAGGGCATTGATTTCTTTATGTGTGTGTGTGTGAGGTTCAATATTTTGTAGTTGTCTTCATCTATCTTGTAAATAGAGTATAAATATATACATATATATATAATTGTAGTTGTTACAGATTTTTTGTGGTTTCCTAATGTTCAGGATATATTTTTATAGATTCATAGATGTATTTTAGCCGTGTGAATGTAGATAGTTTCACAGTGTAAAGAATGCACAGTACATTTATTTAGAATTTCTTAACAGGGATATGATCTTTTTGTGTGTGTACGGCGAAGGTTTAGTAGAGTATTATTTATGTGTTCGGGTGCAGCTGGGAATGACGTTTGTAGTGTTTACTGAGGTGCTAAACATCAGTGCAATACTTGGTGTTTCTGCTGGGTGTGTGACTCGGTTCAATAGACTTGCTGAGTCGGCAGTGTACAGTATATTTTGTTCAGTAGATTTTGTTGTTGTTGTTGTTAGTCTTTTTTCATCTTATGTGTTGCCTGGTGAACACGACCAAAATATAGTTATGTAGTTTTGTCTTTAGATATTTATTTTATTGATGACTTACGTAATGTTGATGAGTACTGTGAAATTTTTATAAACTATGACATATGCCAGGACAAACACTCACACTGTACATCATGACCTGACCTTGGTGTAAACACTATGACCTTGGCTCAGAGAAAAAGTCATGTACAGAATTTTTACACCCAGACATGCCATGACACTGTTGGCATGGAAGTGTGTAGTACTGAAGCAATATCTTTGTCTCTCACTGTGGTAACTTGGCTTCTGTGCCCACTCAGATCAGATGTCAGAAGGATGTTGTCCAGTGTGACACTTCTGAACATTTATGGTTCTTTTCAGTCACTCCACTGTTTGCCTGTACAAAGAACAGACCAACTCCCCAAATGGCTACTAAAGTGATAAGTAATAGAAATTATAAATTAAGAAAAAATATTACAGTATACAACAATTTACATTCATTTGATCACAAAACAACATACAGTATGATTATGTTTCCTGCAACAGGATTACTTGTGGCGCTTGATGTTCTACTCTTGTTCATGTTATCATCAATGTGGGGGACTCTTCTGCCAGTCTTTTCTTTACACTGTACTGCCGGAGAATTACAGTAGTACAGATTCTGAGTACAGTACAGAACATGTTTTATAAATTAATTGAGTAAACTCGACTGTACTGTACAGCTAAAAGCGTGGCTGCAGTTTTTGGTGTGTCTATAGAATCTTGATCATACTTAAAAGAGAAATAGATTTTTGTACATTTTGTGAGATAAATCCTTGCATTAACTAGTGAAGATGCAGCTTTAGGACAGTTTACAGCTTTAGACAAAATACAGGTACAAGTTTTGAGCAATTGTAACAGCTTGTGTAGAGGAAGCACAGGTGTAGAAGTAAGTTAATGAAGTCTTGAGCAGGTGCAGGGACTCTCTTGAACAGTCAACACACCTGAAGATAAGTTGAAGATAATTGTAAATCTATTTTATAAATATTTTTTTATACCGAATATAGACTCATAATTTATTAGGAAACACTTGTGTATTATAAAGACAAAAATAATAATGTACAGAAATGATTAAATACTAATGTTTGAGTATGTAAATTACCACTTTATATTTTGTGAAGATGAATGAACTGTAACATTGTACTACGGAAGACAGATTTATCTGATCTGTAATATGGAACTGTCAGAGATGGGTTTTAATAAGGTTGAAAGAAATTACAGTCATAGTACAAATTTTATATCAAAATAATGATTGCAGACATAAAATCCTGCTGGGTGCACTTTTCCACATTTTACAGAATATTAGTTTGGTTTTACAAGAAGGGACAAATAACAGTTATTGATACCGGTACTTCTTATTATTATTATCTCCTGTGGTCTTCAGAAATATAAAGTTTAATCCCTTGAATATGATGATTTAACCCCTGGTATATGACTACTGTACATTATCCATTGAGTATGACATTATAACCCTTTGAATACAATAACCTGCATTCCCTCACGTATGATGACAGTGTACTTTAGGGGTTAAGTGAATATGCTCAAGGGTTAAATCATCATAATTAAGGGTTTTCATTGTAATGTACTCAAAGGTTAAGTCATTATTCAAGGGCTTAAGCATCATACTCAAGGGCTTAAGTCATTGTACACAAGGTTAAGTAATCATAAAAGGAGTTTAATATACTGTATATGTAACTTAGACTGGACAGAAGGTAATAAATGTCTTCAGTCTTCAACACCTGTAGGAATCCTTGATGTACACTCTTCCTGTATTTCACCAAGTGTTGCTGAAGTCTTTATTTTATTTTTCCTATTATCAAGTGAGGAGATGGTCATGTAGTGGCTGTAATGTTCGGAGGTTAAAATTCTGTACAGTATGTGAACGACCACCTGACAGGTCCTGGTCCACACAACACGTGAGATGTATATGAGCTGTGGAAGTACTTGAAGGTTGCGAGTCAAATGGATCTGAATTCTAACAGTCCTCAACCTAACCTAACCTAATCTGACCTACTCTACCCTACAGAACCCTAACCTAACCAAACCATAAGAATTGGAGAATCTTAGGACTGGGATCCATTTGACCAGCCAACAAGAGAGGTACTTTACACTTATCAGTTGACTATTTGTGTTGCACTTCAAAACATTGCGCATTGTTGAATTTTGTTTGTTTGTGATAATAATACGTTGTCTGTTTTATTGATGTTGATTGGATGACGAGAGTTTTGTTTAAGAACAACAGATTATTATTATTTTTGTCTATGTCATACTCTTATTTTCTCAGGCTTTATTTAATACTGCTTAATAGATGTTAAGAAGCAGGTCTTGACTCAGATTTCAAGGGAATGTTAATATTTTTTTTTTTTTAGTTTGTCATGAATGGCAAATAAACGGATACAGATATTTAATGATGACCTTAGTGTTTTATTGTACCACCTTGTTTATATGTATTATACTACAGTATTCTAGAAAATAACTTATATATTTGAGACAGTTTTAAGTGTTTATATTTACTGTACTGTATACTACTAGAATTTAACTTTAGGTATAAATTTGGTATTAGTGTACTTAGTGTATTTTTAGGTTGAGTTACATTAGCTTAACTTCGATTATATCAGACGAAGTTATGTGGGTTAAGTTATATTGGACTGAATTTATTGTTATGCCAGTGGTCAGTGTACAAAATGACCCAAGGCATATCTCAATAACTTGTCAAGGATTTTTTTTCAAAATTTTTTCCAAGAAGAAAGCCATTGGCACTCAAATTATACACATATTTTTAAAAAAAATGGTAGATAATTTTGTTTTTAATTTTCAGAAACACTAGTACCCAGAAGAAGCCATTGACTAGTGATTTTAACCAATTTTATTTATTTTTTACTATTTTTTAATTCTAATCAATATTACAACAATGATCTCGAAGAACTATAGACTTACTAGAATATTTACATGACAACGGAGAACAAATATAGGCTGGTGGCGGCCAACTGGACACAACACAGATAGTTTTATGGACAATTATTGATGTAGTAAAAATAAATAACATTGGATCATCAGAATATTTGCCCTCATTATATTTTACCTGAAGATTAACCATCCTAATGCTACCTCTCGGGGCTAGATTAGGTTAAATTAGGGTATGTTAGGTTAGGTTTGATTAGGTTACATTACAGGGTATGCAAAACATAAGAGGATTATTGAACTGGTCTCCTACTATGTAATCGACAGTGGACAGAAATGTAAAATAAATCCTTAAAGCTTTAAATGTTGGTGTCTAAAGTACGTGTATCATTTAAAGTACAGTAACTTAATCGAACTTAACCTAATCTAACCTTTGTCATCTGTAACACGGCACTAGGGAAGTCTTAAGTTTATCATATAACACCTTGATCTAATATGGATGACTGACATATACTGTAAGTGTATATATTATGACCAAAACTGAGATGAAAAGTAAGGGATTGTCAGTCTCTCTTTCTCTATCTATATATCTCTTTTTCTCTCTACCTCTCCATCTCTATCTTTCCCTCTTATCTTTGTTTTTATTTTTATCTAGTTATCCTCTTTCTCAGTCTCATTTTCTTTCTTTCAGTTTCTTTCCCTTATACTTAATCATTATCCTTCTACAGTATTATTACATCTTTTCTCCTTTTCCTCTCTGCCTCTCATTCTTACTTCATTGTTTTATCTTATTCACATTCACCCCCTTTCGTTTTCTCCACCATTTATCTTTCTTTCCCATTTCTTGAACAATGATTGATCCAAGTGACATTTTGGCCAAGCATTGAACTTTGGTCTTACATGTTTATTCCTTAATGCTCTCTCTCTCCCTTACTCTCTCTCTCCCTTACTCTCTCTCTCTCCCTCTCTCTCTCTCTCTCCCTTAATCTCTCTCTCTCCCTTTCTCTCTCTCTCTCCCTTACTCTCTCTCTCTCACACACACTGGGCCGTCCATCACATCAAGCAGTATTTTCGTCCTAGCGTGGTCGATGAAGTAAATTGAGTGAATAGTGAAGTCGTAAGGTTGATTTTGGATATTGTGTGATAGTGGTGGTAGTGGTGGTGGTAGGGGAGAAGTGGTGGTAGTGGGGTAGTGGTGGTGGTAGGGGAGAAGGGGTGGTAGTGGGGTAATGGTGGTGGTAGGGGAGAAGTGGTGGTAGTGGGGTAGTGGTGGTGGCAGGGGAGAAGTGGTGGTAGTGATGGTGGGGGTGGTAGGGGAGAAGTGGTGGTAGTGATGGTGGGGGTGGCAGTAGTTTTCTGGTGGTAGTAGCGAATAATTTCTGAAGGTTATTACTCCATATCTTTTTATGTCTCAATGTCTGTTTTCTCCATTTTTAAAGAAAAAGAAACGCTGACTTTCTATAAACGACAAACAACTCTTTAAAGATAAATTTATAAGTTATATTAGTTTAGACTCCAGACGGCAACTTTTAAAATTTGAGGGAGTTATTTTTTGTTTCAACAAATAAAAATTGTCATCAGGTAGATTTATAACAAATCACAAACTAGGTAAAACCTATTAAGAATAAAAGAAACCTAATTCACTTCAGTGTTGTTATTCATATAAATTATTCATCCTTATTATATATTATGCTTTAGTAACTACAGTCTAGAACAAAGATCAGTTATTACACTGAAAACCTCGCCTGATAGAAAATGCGAGGCAGCCATTATGTCGAGCTCACATTTTTTTGAGACTTTAGTGCTGTTGATGTGATATTTACCAGCATGCCGAAGTTCATGAAGGTTGTGATATAATTGATTACTGTGTTGTTATGATGTATTATTGCGCTTTAACAACCTTAAGATTGTATTATAGGTTACTTGCAAACTAATGAAAGGCAAGTTCTTAACATAGCTCAACCTCTGAGTCACGACAGGTCTAAAGTCTGCGACACTTAATTATGAACGTCTGGCCTCGGTATTGGAATGTGTATTTTAAATTCATGATTTGTTCAGTCTGGAAGAAATCTTTAAAGATATTTTTAATAGTTGTTTTAGTGTATAGACCTACATAGAGTATCTACCTGAAAATGATTACCTGTATAAACCACAACAATTTGTTTTGTCTTTGTATATAAACAACAAGAAGAGTAGTAATTAGTATAAGTGATATTAACTGTATGAAAGGTCGTAAATATTTGGTTTGCTTTAGTCATAGAAATTCCTGGAGTAAGAGTCATATAATGATTGATACATAGCGTCACTACCTGCGTCACCTGGAGGGCAGTTTTACTTTTCCAGGAAGAACTTGAGTATACTACTACGAGGAATAAAATACTAGGAATAAAATAATCGTTAGCTGGGGTTTCACAGATGTACTGTTGACTTAAAGGAAAACAATTCTGTATTTGTAAATAAAGCAAGACGACTCAGTTACAAAAAAGAACATTTAAAGCTGTTACAAAAACTTTAGTTAGTCTGTGAAGGGGAATTGGGGATGGGGGGGGGGGGGGCAAGATTGGTTGACTGAACGGAGAGAAATACAGAATTCATAGGTCATCACCCTCTCCTACTCTCCCTCCTTCCTTTACTCTCCCTCCGCTAAATATAGACCTGTGAAGAACCGCTGATGACCTTTCCTGAGATAAGACCCGAAAGTCGTTCACATCTGAGGTGACCTTTTCTACCACACGATTCTTTTATACGTCTCTGCTTGTGGTTCACCGAGTCATCCCTCAACCTGGCGCTGGCTACTGACAGTGACCTCTTCTTGCTGACGTGTTTGAGGGCCACGTCTCCTTACTCACGCGTTTTGGGGGGTGGTAATGTAGGGTTGACGTCTCCCTGTTGACCTGTCTGAAGTTATACAAGTATTGGGGTCACAGTTTGGAGGTCATCTGTCCTTGTTGTGTTGTAATGGGTCATAGTTTATGGGTCACGTCTTCCAGCTGACCTGTCATTAGGGTCACTTCTTAAGCTTGGAGTTTCTAGCAACTGAACTTTGGTTCGTTAAAGCTTTATTTAATTAGAAAGTTTTCAACATTCTTTCTGGTCTTGGTTGGTTGTATTTTCGTCAAATTTTTAAATAGTGTTGTGAAGTTGTTTATAATTATGGTTTGGTGATGTCTGTCTCGGTTCCATTGTTGTTTTTTCTATTGTAGACTATTTCAAAGTTTGCCTAACGTCGTAAGGAGTTCTAAGCGTTCATTTCAGTATTTGTTTGGTTATAAAGCTCGTTTGTGCTCTATGAAAGTTTTTAGTTGTCTTTTGTTCTGGCAAGAATGAAATTTATCCCACTTTTATTCCATGTTTGAAAGGCTATTCCCATTTTCTTCAGTTCCTGCTGTATGGTGCAACATTCAGTTTTCTATTACTGAAGGTTCTGGGCATGGCCGATGGTGGATCTAATATTTCAATAGGTCTCTTCAACATCTTTTTGGCCCAGTATATTACGACCAAACTTGAGTAACGTTACAGTGTCAAAGGGCAGAGTTAGCTTATTTATTAAATAATATACACTAACGCTAGCGGGGCTGTGATAGGATGTTGTCATCACCTTAGCATTTATATCCGTCAAACAGCTGAGCTACAGAACGGTAATAGGTACAGTATTCATAATCTACTAATATACACAACACAGTAACCCATGCAGCTGTTATGATTCCAGAGGACACAACGAAAGACTGACATGAGTTAGTACTGTGCTGTATCTTGCTTGAGTCGCGTACAAAAGTTTACCCCCTTACTGGGCCTCCCAAACTGAAGCATTATCTACCCCCAAATGAGACAAAACAGACAAACAAAACTATACGCAAAATGCCCCACAAGGATGTAACAATATTATTTTTATTATTATTCCACCACAGGTAAATATGATTAAGTTTCATGAGATCGGCAGAAAATATTATCTTCATTTTTCGTGGTCTGCTAATTTGCGACTTCTAAAGATGACTCTGGATTGTACCGAATATTTTATATTGCGATGTTTATTATTAGTTACGATAAACTATCTATAATATTTTATGCAATTCTTTCATTTATTTTTTTTTATTTTTCATTATTTACTTTAAATTATAAAAAAGTTATTTAAGCATCAGATGAGAAAGTTAATGATCTCGGTAAATAAGTAACAGTTTGGCGCCTGACGCTTCTGTAACAGTGTTCCCAGATGTGGCTGTTTACCATCAAATTTGTCTCTTATTTTGTCTAAGTAATGAGAGACGTGACCGATCGCCCAAGAGACTAACAAGCCGATCAGTGGCGAAGAGAATAAAAGTAAAAGTAAAAAAGGTGGGGGGGGGGGAGGGTTGCTGGTTCAAATTGAGTTTCCTGGTAATAGACAAAAAATCAATTTGTGTAAGAAGAAACTGAACCTAAGTGAACACTAACTTTATTGAGCGTATCTTTGAAATATTTTCACATACCTGAGTATAATTTTGATGGGTGAATTGGCTATAAGGGAAGGTGTACT